AATCAAAGTCGCAGCAATTGCAAAAAAAAGCATTTTTGTATAAAAGCTTCGACATTTATCCCCGTACTAACAACCAAAGAAAGCATTTTAGTATCTAAAACATCTTCGACAAATGAAACATATGGTGATAACAAACAGCATTCAAAATCAAAAATCTACATAACAATACAAAATAGGAACAGAGCAAACGCGGATCTCCAAATCATCAGAGGTGGGATCAGGTGCCATTGAGGAGTGAGCTTCCCCTTCCAACCGGTCACTTCCTCCGTGTGCTCCTTTTCATTATCGGGAAATGATGGCAAAAACTGTCGTCAAATCAGTGTATAAATAATGGTTTAACAAATAGTATGACAAACGTCAGTCAGCATTAGGCCCAATGATATATTGTATTTAGGTCACAGAACTTACGAAATGATGACTTTAACAGAGACTGCTGATATTCTTGTTTCATCAACTTGTCTGTCATCAATTTACTTCGTTTAAGAATTTTTTCATACGCAGAGCATGCTCTTGAATATCGAATCAACCGAGATATGTAAACTCCGTATGCAGGAGATAAAGGTATATTGCTGGGTATCCTTTCGAAACATCATTCAGCTATTATTTTAGTACACTGACAATCAACTTACTATTTCTTTTTTAAAAATATGGGTTATCAATGTATTGTCATGAAATGTCTGTTCTTGTTCGACGCATATGAATTAAGGATAAATGTTGAACAAATGGCACCCAATCACCCGAAAAAAATTAGCAAAGAATGGAAAATAAATAAATAAATAAATAAATAAATAAATAAATAAATAATACATAACAAACACGTCGTGTTTAAAATTATTGTTTGGTGCATGTTGATAACACATTTGAAATAAAAAAATTAAAATGATTTTAGAATTTCAAAAAAAATTAGAAATATAAATTTAAAAAGAAAAAAAAAATATTTAAACGGATGAAACGTTTTGTTCATTGCTATTCTCTTTGATAATTGTGGTCGTAAAATTTCATATACTGCAGAAAAATTAACAATTTATTTTTCTCTGGCGTAGGATTTAAACTATTTTTTTTTTCAAATTTCCATTTACATTCCTGCCAAAAGTTTACTCACCAAATATTGTTATCCATAATGAGGCACGTCTATATAAGCCAGTCCAAACATAAGTTCTTTCTGTGAAATTAACTTGGATGGGATATTTTGTTAGAAAGCTACTATTTTGTGATACACATTTCTTTTGTGTGTCAAACCAACTCCGAAGTCCTGGGACATCTGATAAAATTACTGCATAAAAAGATAAGAAATATATATTAAATTCTTTTCAATTTAATTCGGTTTTTAATATATGAAGGATTTAAAAGTCAATTTTAATTAATCTATATTTTCATGCTAAGGCATTGTTTTTCTTTTCCATATACAGTACGCAATATTACAAAAAAGTGAAATGGTTATCCTAATTTCATATGTACCAACAAGCAATTTTCTTGCATTTCAATGTCCAAACTCTTAAATGCTTTTAATTTTTTTTCTCATTCAGATATGCAGATATCTTTCCTAAAATTCTACATACATAATGACTACGTTAACAGAAACACACAAAAACATATTCCTCTAGGTCAGTTATATTTTTTAAACACTTTTCAAAGCAGACTCGAGAAAGGTGTTTACTAGCTAGAAGACACACTCTTGAAGCGAATGTATACATGTATATTAAGTAATTTAAATTTGATTTATATTTTTTCATTCCAAGGCAATTCATTATAATTTGTCTTCAAATACTTGTTCATGTATATATGTGTAGACTATATATATCCACTCCTTCCAAGCTTTAGATAGTGGTGTGCGTACTTTCTTTGTTTATCCTTATAATCTTTTGTCAAAATCTTGTTATACCAACAGTATCTGTGTGATATATTTATCCAAACATCTAATCGTCTTTAACATCAAATGCAATATCATTATTGTATAATTCTACTTTTGTTATTTAACTATATCATGCTTGGTACTTTTAAAGTAGTAGAAATTGTAAGAGTTAAATTTCTGTTTTGATACATGATATCTCCTTTAGATGTTAAGTGAACAATCATGAAACTTTACCGGACACTTTGCACACTTTTTTTTAATTTGTAATGACTTTGTACACTTAGTACACATTTTTCTTTAGCTGAAAATTTACAGTCTGTCTTCACTGAAAATGGTATTCATGTCATACACACTAAAAATTTAGTGCAAATTTGAGAGTTTATCTTCCTTGTTTATTTAAATTTAAAACCATTTAAATAATCTTCAATATATGGTCATATAATTTTTTTTTTAAATTCTCTCTAATTGCAGATATATTCCACCGTTTAAGTTGAAACAATTAATATATTTATATAAAATTCCCTTTTATGGATGGAAGCAAACACGTTTATCTTTAACAGTAATGTTAATTTATTTTATAAACAATTCAGCATGCACTGCTTTGAAATAATTTGAATATGAGACACCCTATTTCCTTTCATTCACAAACTATTTAGTATGGTTTTTATATTATGATATTTTCATGGGAAATCAAAGCAAAAATGAGTGCTTTCTACTCAGTAAGTAACCATTGATTGATAAACTCTTAAATTTCTTACATATACATAAATACATCTACATGTTTCTTAAAAAGATCAAGAGCGCTGTAATTATAGTGCCTTTCCAGGAATATATTATACCACAAACAATGTACCTTTTCCAAAAAGAAAAACAATTACTTGACAAGCAAGTACAGGGTGTGACACTTTCATTCCTCTAGCACACCCTGAATGGATATACAAGCTACATGTATGTTAATGTAAATGAACATGTAACCAGTGTAAGGATCTAGTGTAAGGATCTAAAGATAAAGGATAGATTTTAAAGTACATGTACATGACAAAATCCATGCATTAAAATTGAGCTTGTGTCGCCTGCTTTGCAACATCATTTAAACATAAAGAGTTCTCTTTTTTTGCTTTTACAGGCATTACGTTTGATGAATATTCCAACAGAAACAATTACCCGCACAATATGATATTGGACTTCAAAAGAAAAGAAATATAATACAAATTCTCTCTTACCCTCAAATCTAAAATAATTCATCAAATTGAAATTATAAGATAAAACTATTTTTCATTTAATTATGTCCGTTAAAGAAAGTCCAACAAAACTGTCACGATAGCTCAGACCCTTGTTCGGAAGGTCAAGAGTTCGAATCCCGGTTGTGACTCACTTAGTTCGATAAAAAAAAATAGGTTGCAATTGTTCCTTTGCTATGCCCATGGTACATGTACTTTCAGGTGAAAGTTTAGCGTCCGTCGGATGAAATATTAAAAACTTAGGCACCATCCCACGGCATACGTTGACATGATAAAGATCCCTTACTGCTCAATGACCCTGAATGCCAATTAAAGGTAAAATGTTCAAAATAATGTTCTGGACAAACTGTGCAAGGAACGCACATGTCATCATTCCTCTTAAATATCAAATATCTGCTGTATATCAGGATGCACTATCTTTTTGAAAAGTACGTTAATGGCCATGTTCAAGGTTTATGTAGGGAGTGCCAGACGGTAAGACAGACACATACGACGGGTAAAGTAACTCAAAATGTCTATCAGCCCTCCAATGGACACAAGAAGGCTTTTATTAAAAAAAAGAATAATATTACCTTCTTATAAACTGCTGCTCCCTTATTAACAGGGGAATCTAACAGCCCTCTTCCTATTTTCAGAAATATTTCCTTTTATAATTTTAATTTAACATGTGTAAACAAAATCATTTTTTAATTTTTTTTCCTGATGTATCATTTTACAAAATTGAAATGTCAACGTTTAAATGTGACCATCAAATTTATTTAAAGGGGCCGATAGTTATGGATGACTTTTACTTAGGTTTCATAAATCAGAAACAAAATTTTATTTATAAAGCAAAAATTTGTCTACATGGATAAAATAACAAAGTTTCATCTCAATATTAATTCGGACTGTAATTATTATCATGTTTATGGCCCAAACTTTAATCATTTCTTTCTATGTAAAACGCTGTTCCATTGCTATAATAATTTGCTATAATAATTAATTATTTAAAGAGTTTTTTTTATATTTTGTAAGCGAAGAAAAAATTGGTAATAGTGTGAAAAATTGAGGTGTTTCCCAAGTAATATGCAGGAGCCACCAGCATGAAAAAAAAGATCATGGACCTAGTATTTGAAACTGAAATTTAACACAAAAATCGTAGGTGAACAATGTGCAATATGTGGTTTTTCGTTCTTATCAGTAGAATTTTTAGTCATCGGAGTAAAGTTAAATGAAGCGTATTTATCGTTTTAAAGCAGCATCTTTTACATTAAAAAACAAAATTGAGAAATTTCGGAATTAAAAATTAATTTCAGAAATATATATTACTAATTTTAAAAACTTTTTTTTTCCACTGATAGGTACATGTAGATCGATACCGTAAAATTGATAAACTGAAGCTTTTAACGTGTTTAAAGAAGGGGTCATAAAAATATCATAGAAGAGAATTTTTGTTTTAAAAACAAATAAGCTTTTGAAATTTAAATCATAAGAACCTTACGTTTTCTCCTTTTGATTATTAATTTCTGGTATAAAACTTAAGTTTTGCATCATTCATATTTTGTAGTACTCTATAATGATCCCCCTCCGGAAACAATATGGTGGAATTTCGTGTTTCTTACAAATAATATGCAATATAGCATTACTCATCATATATAATAAATTGAACATGTTCCCTTAACTTAGCATGTACATGAGATCAATGTATGGTACATATGATATGAAATTAAGGAGTTTCTCAGCCATTGTATTTTTAACACAGTAAAACTCCAGTTGGCCTCCACAATAGATACGAGGCCAAGAAGTGAATTTAATTCAAGCACTAAAAATGACTAATGATACGTGAACTCAAAAAATTTCACATTTTTGTGACTTTCTGTACCTTTCGCAAGACAAAGAAAGAACTTAACAATCCCAATGTATTTTCATGATAATTTAATTTCTTTAAGTGTCCATTGTCTTAAGAATGCCTCATATTTACTACATGTATTGCACATTACTGATTTAGGACATACCAATATAAATAAAAGCAGTTTTCTTAAATTATTAAAGGTATTATATCTAAAATGATTTCGTATAGTTGTTACTAATAAAGAAAGTATTCTCCTTCGCGTCGCTGCGTCTAACATACAACGTAAACATAAAATGATAATAATTGTTTCTTCGACAAGTGCTCAGCATTGAAAGTTAAAGTTGCGGGTGAACTAACTCCTTGATGTCATTGATTTGTCTTCAGGTGACTGTATATACTGCTTATTTCAGTATTATTAATTTTAGAAGCTACATCATAATCAGATTGTTCGCTAGTATGAGGTGAGACGTGACTATAACCAGAATTTATATTGTCTTCATTGTTGACTATCCTCTCTCTTAGATGATCATAGTTTTCTTCGGTATTCCAGGTAAAGTGACATTCTAGTTTTGTAGTTTTGCTAACTGTATCGTAATCGTTCTCTCTGTTTGCCACTTCGGTCCCAGCAAATGTGCCTCGAAGGTGATCATAATTATTGTCTTTAGATTGACGTGTGAAATCGACATTTGGATAATTTGATATTTTTGTGCATTTTTCCTGAGATTCAAGAGTAAAGTAGTCGTGATCTTCAGTAACATCTTTATTAGATTCTGGATGCTTACCCCTTTCCTCACAATTTCTAGTGTTTGTTGTTTTAGCTGACTGTTTCTGTGTTCTTTCTCTAAGAGAAAATTAAATGAAAATTAGGCATATTTCCTTATAGAACATCCATTTGCCGAAATAAGAAATAGGTATACACTGATGGGTACACAAAGGGAGGGGGGTTAAGGAATGTATCCTATGAAACAGACACTTCAGATAAGTTTCTTTTTACATACTCAAATATCATCTGAATAATCAGAACTTCATAAAAAAAATCTATTTGTCTGTATTTCAGTGAAAACGCTCCAGATATGTTTTCATGTAGTTGAGTGTAACATTGAAAATTTTCACCCCAAGAAAACCATTGTCAACCGAGGCGCAGCCTGTCAGATGGGTAACCCAAAGAGTAACAGACGGACGGACATACCGATTACTATATACCCTCCCGCTTTTCTTTTCTATTGGGGGTTAGATAAAATATTCAATTTTGTCCTCCTTGATGAAGCCTGCGTCTAATCCATCATTTTCTTGCTCTTAAAGATACCTTATCACAAATCTATTCCGTCTTTATACCCGCCGCTTAAAAAGCAGGACGGTATATAGTAATCGGTATGTCCGTCCGTCCGTACGCCCGTCTGTCTGTACGTCCGCCCATCTGTTTGTTACGCTTTGGGGTACCGATCTCTTATCCGCAAATCCTCTTATACCACTGAGGGAGATTTAATGAAACTTTCACAGAATCTTTATTACATATTGTCATTGTGCACCTCCTATTTTACTTTTCAATCCCACACATATTTTGGGTTTTCCGGCCACAGCAAAACATGAACTTTGCCATAATAACCATATGTGAGGCGAAGGGGGGGGGTTATCATTTAGTGAGTTCATTGCTCACAATACCTCTATTTTATTTTACTTTTCATTTATTACACGAATAATGAAAATCTTCCAAACAGAAACAAGCAATCCGTGCTGTGAAGGATAAAATCAAACAATTGTAATGATTTATAGTTAATCAAAAAATTCATTTAAAATGCCCCACCCCCTAAAATAAAGATACAGAATGGCATACACTTACTAACAAACACAGATAAACAATTTGGAATAGAAAAAAGAGGTACTGTGAGCAATGAGCTCAATTAATGATACCCCCGCCTCCCATATGAATATAATGGCAGTGCCATGTTTTGCTGAGTGAAACATAAAATATGTGCCGGGTCAAAAAGTAAAATAGATGCACAATCGCAATATGTAATAAAGATTCTGTGTAAGTTTCATCAAATTTCCTTCAGTGGTATAAGAGGAGTTGCGGATAAAAGATGGATACCCAAAGCGTAACAGACGGAGGGACGGACCGACGGACAGACGGAAGGACATCTAGACGGACGGACGGACATACCGATTACTATATATCCTCCCGCTTTTCAAGCAGGGGGTATAATGGAAAAAAAACACAATCGAGCCTTACCGTAATTTCAGGAAAACTATACAACATCCTCCAATAAGACAGGAAATTACAACAACTACAGGGATAACTATTTTGAACACATTGCTCTCTTCTGAAAAAAATAAGCATGTCATTTTTTTTTTAAACATTGAATCAGTTGTAAGTAAACTAGCCCTTTGAGGCGCAGCAGTAAGAAGATTACCTGGTAAAGAAGGTTTGTTTTCTCCTTTAGGTTTACAGGTCAGATTTTTGGCATTTTGAAATTCCGAATAAAGGCCATTTTCAGTGAAATTCTCCGCAGGATTATCATTCTTTAAAAGTAAAATTTATATTCATATTAGTATATTGAGTGGCAGAGAGAGAGAGAGGGAGAGAAAGAGAGAGAGAGAGAGAGAGAGAGAGAGAGAGAGAGAGAGAGAGAGAGAAAGACAATTACAATAACCCTCAAATACAACTTATATTCTGATCATATTCAGCTTATATTCTGATATTTTCTTCTTTTTTTGTCGCATAAAAAGATACTACCATAAAGGGCCTATAAAATGATATTACGGAATTGACATAATAATTAAACTAAAATGGATATTTGCTAATCCGAATTTTCTATGCTTATCTTAAAATTTAAGGATATATTATTTTTTTATGTGCTTCCCAAAATGATACAAAAGCAAAAAGTTATGATAGTTTAGTAAGAGAAAAGAAAAATACTTTTAACGGATTTTTTTCTCAAATCTGTACTCGGGATGGTTGCTTATAAAAGCGTACATTGTGTAAAAAATATAACTTAATTCATTGTATAATTTTGAGAGGCAGACAAGAAGATATTTTCATACGCCTCCAATATACCAAAAATATAGTCCCTGCTAGTTTTCGTACGCAGTTTTCCATTTCTATTCAAACTTGTACAATTATGATGAGGAAAGTAAAATAGGGTCTTTCAAATTTCCAACAACTATATATATATATATATATATATATATATATATATATATATATATATATATATATATATATATATATATATATATATATATATATATATAAGACATATACATGTATCAAGCAAATGTACTTTGAATATTTTATCTAGTCCAAAACCAGAGAAGAACCCTTCCCTAAACGCTCTTTTTGTATAATTTAATTAAAAACGGTTGTTTTCTTTTATATTTTTAAAAATTCTAATTGTTCTTGTTTTTTCATGGGTTAAAAGCATTTAATCTTTTTTACTCCTTGGGTTTCTATGTAACAGAAAACTACAGACGTTTATCAGAGCAATTTTGTTTAAAGTCTGAGTTCAAAGATAATTAGATTTTAATTAAGCACAATAAACAACTTTCTGAAATTTTTCTACCCGTGAAGGAATAGGGTAAAGAAACTTTAATGTACGGTTTCTAGATTTTTATAATAAGATTTTGAACTGGATAAGAGAAATGATGGATTTTGTATTTTATCGAACTAAAGAAAAAGACCTTTCACTTTCCTCTTTTGTACCAGGTCTCGTGCACTGGTGAATTTGCCTTACATGTTAAAGTCTATATATCAGTGTCTCGGGGACAACCAAAAACATTTTTTTTTCCAAATTGCTTTTACCTAAATTTAATTTTTATGAACACTTAATTCATGATCAATAACAAAAAAAAAACCTCTACAAAAAAGATATCATATTGGCATTTAGGTATCTAGGGTTTACCCTTTTTCAAAATAATGAATTGGACGCTTTTACATACCTTCATACAATATACCTTTTCCACTAATTTTTCAGAACAGAATGTATATTTGCATTCATTTGTATCGCATTTCATACACTCATTATAATATTCTTTTTCTTCTTCTTTTATTTCATTCCCTGTGACAATAATTAAAACCGTTGATTACGTACATATATAGTAATGCACACATATATAGAATGTATATATTTTGCTAAAATTTCTTTAAAGAAATCTCAATGCCAATTTTTGCTCAATGCGATACTTTTTATTAAAAGTAACCCTGATTTGACACATCCAAGTGAGTATTCACATACATAATACATATATTATATATTTTTTCCCCATCTTTGACACTGTTTAGGTCTGAAATACGCATTCTGTTTATTGAACATTTTTGCGTACCTCATTGAATGATATTGTGAAATTAAGATTCTTTGATGTTTTTTGTTATATGCGTTTGTTCCTATTACGCAATGTGTTTAATTGTATTGGTATTGTCAATTATACTATGTGTTGACATATTTTGCTTGCTTTGTCATTTATTTATTTATTAAGAAATGATCATTCAATTGCAACACTGCGTTTTCATTTGTGTCAAAGAGAGCACCGCCATATCAGGTATCCATAAAGATATTTTTATACAGCATTTGATACATGTACATGTAGTTCATGCATTCATATTTACATTTACTGTGTTTTCTCGTACAGTGTAAACCAACATTGAAATTGGTTTGAAAACCATTTTTAGTTTATACTCACGCGTAGAATTACAATGCATACACGGAGAAACGTACGCTAACGTGACGTCACAATGAGGCTAAACGATGTAGAGCAGCGAAACATTCAGTATATTTACGGTGCTTTTAAAAATGTAAAATGTAAATATAAGGAATGTTTTTAAGTTTAGTGTGATTTATTGGTGTGTAAATCACTCAAGACTTCCAGGAAGGCATATTTGGCATGAAGCGCTACCATGCTTCATGAAGTATGCCTACCTGAAAAGTCTGTGTGATTTACACACCAATAACTCACACTAAACTTAAAAACATTTCTTAAATATCGCCTTCATACATGTACTATACCATTATAATTATTTATGTAGATATCATAAGTAAATATCCGATATAGTTAGTATATAAATAGATACAAGTTTTACCAGAAAAAGACACGATAAAATACAGATTTTTCGTGAAATTTTGCAAAAACCAAGAATGCATGTACATGTATGTGTCCCACGTGTGATTGAAATTGCATTTTCAAATAATTATAGGTAAATATGTGAGAAGGTGAAATACTATCATACCATAATCAATCCCGCTGTACAATTCAGCAGCCACTCCAAGCCAAGAAGGTTGAGTAAATACACTATTGACTGAAATACAGGTTTTGTTGATATCGTTCAAGAATACATCGGAAAATAAGTATGAGGACGGATTTGCAGATTTACAATATTTCATTGCACCTGACCATGTTTCAAAGGGACGTTTCTCTGGAATATCTGAAATAGAATTAATGTGTATATGATGACATTTTATTTCGTAAAATATATTGTACTAGCATAATAACGACATAGATATCATTTTAATATTATGTTTGAAATAAAATGTGAGATAGTATTTATTGAAAGGTTTCATCAGCTTATAATTTTCATAGAATTAAATGAAGATTCAACTGTAATAAAAACATACCACATCTTTGGCATAATGATTTGAAGCTTTGATTACAGTTACTTTCAAAGTAAAATTTTGGAAATGCTGTGCAGTGAATACCAATACAAAATGATCCATTTGTTGAATATTTATTGTTTTTCATATCTAAAATAAGGATAAGGAGATAACGAACAGTATTCAATATCAAAGTCCATAAAACAGTACAAATTAGAAGCTGAGCAAACACGGACCTCCGAAACATCAGAGATGGGATCAGGTGCCAAATATATAATGATGTATTTTATTTTGATTTCTATAAGCTGTTCAGTGATGAATGACATATCATATCGACTTTTCTTTTGTTTTCATGAAACGATGACTACAATTGATAATTGATAATTGATCTAAATCGCAAAAAAGACATTTTCCTGTATACTAATATAATTTATTTAATGGAATATTAGAGGTAGGAATGGATAACGAACATTATTATATGATTGAATAATTTCCATTTCTCTGATTGGCTCAGATCCAACTATGTTAGAAAAATATTACGTTGTATTGACCTGCACGTGACGTTCCAGGTCAATACAAGGATTTATTTCCACTACATTGATCTAAAAATAGATTGGGAAATTCCAAATTGATACAAATTGTTTTAGAAAGCTATTTAAAAGACTATGATTTTTTTTTTTTTCATGTGAACAAAACATAAGTTAATATATATTTTAGGGTGAGGGTGGTAAGAGGGGATGCAGGGACCCTCCTCCAACACTTTTACTGAACAACAATTTTGTTTTACTTTTTGGCAGTCTGTTTTCCCTGATAATACAAAATCTATCCTATAAAAAAAAAGACTGACATTATATATTTCATTCGTGGCAACTTAAATTAATTTTAAAAAACATTTCAAATTGATACGACTGGTAAGGTTTATTCACATTTTAATTCTGCTTCACTCTTGTATTTGGCTAGGACTTAATAAAATGCAAACAAGTAATGAGCTGTATCATTTTATCAGTGAATCATATAATAAAACAATTATTGCTGTTTTTTCGGTCAATACAATGATTTAGCCATCTTCGAAGTACAATATTCACCTCGCCCTTCGGGCTCGGTGAATATTGTACTCCTCAGATGGCTAAATCATTGTATTGACCTCAAAAACCAGCAATAATTGTATAGTATTCAAGCTTAAAAGTCCATTTCTGAAACATTACAAACCGGAAACAGAGCAAATGAAGACCTCTAAAATCATCAGATGTGGAATCAGAGGCAATAAAGGAGTTAGCATTCCTTTCCGACCGGTCACACTCGCCCTGTGCTCCATGTCATGATCGGACAAACTTATATAGACAAGGCAATGTGAAACTGATGGTCTACAATTTATTATGTACAAAACGTCAGTCAACATTGGACTGAATGATAGGACCTAATCACAAGGTCATTGTATCGACTCTTGACTTTTAAAATGTTGATTTCTAACGAGATTGTTGATATCCTTGTTTCATCAACTTGTTTGTCAATCGTTTCTTATTTAGAAATGCATCGCATATAGTGCATTCTCCTGTTATGGAATCAAGTTGGAGACATATTAAACTCTTTATGCAGATCATAAAGTCATACTGCTACACTATACGGGAATTTGACAATAGAAAAAAAATGAAGTCATCACGTTGATCATAAAGATATATCGAGTGGAAATATAGATGGAAGTAATGGACATATATGAATGTCGAGTTTCAGGCCAAAGCAAGTTCTTTCACCAATTTCATGTTAATTTTTTACGAAGAATCAGAAGCTTCATATGAATTCGCTAATTAAAAAAATGAAATAGGTTTACATGAAAATTCTGATATATTATTGGAAGACTTGTTCTTCACAAATACAAAGATATTGTAAATCAGTACGCAAACATGTTCTACATGTAAATATCAACTTCGAGGTACTTTAGAGCCCTCGGAATAATTTGTTAGATAAATGATTTTACAAATAATCAATGAAAAAGCATTGTCTATAATGTCAAAAACCCTTAAATTTAATTTATCGTGGGGAATTGTATCAATTAAGCTAGTTAAAAAATTTAATACGTCTTTTGTATGTTAAGATTTCCATTAGATCATTACCTGACTGAAACACTGAATAAGCCATTTGTCCACCACATTCGCCAATATAATGGGCATCAGCTCTGATATTACATGTAACATTACATGTATCTGATGGCAATTCTTCATTCACACTAGGAGGATTGTGTAAACATTTGCATTCTGATCCCTAGATAAATATTCCAATCACATGAGGGTAAAAATAACAGTTACATGTATGAAATTCTATTTAAAGCCCTTAAACTATTAAGGAAATCTGATATAGCCTTTAAAGAGATTAACATAGATTATTTAAAAATGAATATATGTTTAGAATTAAAAAAAACAACCTCCGATTGATAGAGTAGAAGTATATTGTGATAAAATGACAAGTAATGCATATAATATTAAATGCAAACATGACAGAGGCGACTTTGATCTCATGTTTCTTTTGATATTTCTTTTTCATTTCATCCCCTTATTTTTTTTTACTTTTCAGGTGCTCTTTTATCTTTACCACCCAATTTGTTATGAACCAACTTTTTTTTAAGTTATAGTGTTAAATTATTCAAATTTGTTCTTTGTACTTATTTTAAAATCATTATTTTTTACTGATTCATTTTTTTTGGCAGAAATTCTACGCATCACCAAATAAGAAATAAGTATCCAACAAAAAAAAAATGTGATATAGACATCGTTCTTTTCTAGATAACCATGTGGCGATAAACGAAATCTAAGATTTTGTTCATCTGAATATTCAATATAGTACTGTATTTCAATATATCTGAATGAAATTTTAAATGCAAAAGTCAAAAGAGAAACAAAAATTGTATATAGAAAAAGTTCGTTGAAAATATTCGAAGTTTTGTAGAGCTGTGACATTACTTTCGAATCAACAATCATATTTAGGTACCATCAATGACTGCAGAGGTATGATTGATTGATTGTTTATTGTTTTACGTCCCTGTCGAGAATTTTTCACTCATATTGAGACGCCACCACTTCCCGGTGGAGAGCTACAAATTTAGTCCTATACTCGGCACTCAGGACCATTGAGCAGGGAGGGATCTTTTTCGTGCCAGCACCTATTTCGACACAGGACCTCAGTTTATAAGGTCTCATCCGAAGGACCGGTCTCTACGTCCCAAAGTGGGATTCGAACCCGCGACGTAAGGATTGACTCCTTACTTCGCGACTCTAGAGCAGACGCTCTAACCACTGCGCCACGCGGACGACCCATCAATGAGGTAAAAGCTAAGATATATTTGTAGCTTCATAGAATTTTTTAAGGTCACTGTCCATAATAAAAATGTTTTTGTAAGTTTTGTTTTTAATATATTTATAATCTCTAGATTATTGCCGAAATTCGTGAAATGAAAGAAGATTGGATTCCTGTAGGCATAGACACACGACCGTCCCATAAGGGAGCCTGGCTTTCAAACACTTCAATGAAACAAAAAGGGGACGAGCTAGTACGGAAATCTAAAAAGATTCCACATGTATGAATGACGTAACCCCTGTTATTGAAAATTTGGACTTTTACAGTTATTGGAAGAAAGTTTAAGCAAGACTCTGGGAGCTGTAAAACTGAGAAGTGTTTACTTTTAATCCAATATTAAACCCTTTTGTGAGACTGAGATCAAAAGTGAATTCGTCTCAGGTTTATGACTAGGAGCTATATCGTTCGATATAAATATTCATCTAAATATTGAAAGCCTACTGCTTTCTAGGTAAAAATGAATGGCCAAGAACTGAAAATGTATCTATAAGCTCTGCAGTATGAAAATGAAAAAAAAAAATCTAAAGGGAGAAACTATTATAGTTGTTGAAAAGAAAAATGAACTTATTTTTAAATATGTAACGGGAGAGGAGAAAATGCAGCGGACCAGACCGGGATTCGAACCCGGGCCCCTTGAAACTCCGGTCAGGTGCTCTACCAACTGAGCTATCTGGCCACCGGCGATCGAACCCGGCTGACCGCCACATTCCTCCCTCCTTAAAGGTCTTTGGCCTTCTAAAGACCCCAACCCAGGCTCATCCCTGGCAGGCCTTTCACCTGTCAGTTCCAGGGCATGGCACGGCACCAAATGTAACGGGAGAGGAGAAAATGCAGCGGACCAGACCGGGATTCGAACCCGGGCCCCCTGAAACTCCGGTCAGGTGCTCCACCAACTGAGCTATCTGGCCACCGGCGATCGAACCCGGCTGACCGCCACAAATATATATCATTCATAAAAAGAAAATTGCCTTCCAAATGATGTACATATTAACAGAATGTATGGTACTGAAAAACAAAGCATTTTTAGAAAAATGTAATGCTTTGAAATAAAATTACCTTTATTGCAAAAACGGTTTTGTTGAAAGACAAGCATATTTCTTGACAAAATCCTGCAGAGGGTATTTGTTGCATATCATAACTCACTGAGAACGTCTGAAGTATCTTCTCTGGATAGCATCCTTAAATTATATAATATAGTTTTTCCACAAACACGACCTGACTACTTTTCATGTACATGTATCAAGTAGAGTGCTGCATTCCTAAATAAAGTCGAATCCCTATCTATATTCTATCGCAAATCCTACGTCCATAATCCTAACCATTGATTTCAACCATATCCTATCATACTTTTCTTTGACACTTTCCGATTTTAATCCCGAATGAATATCAAATTAACAGCTGATAAGGTAATAATTCAAAAGTGTAAAAATAAATTGATACCTATGGTATAAGGGCTGATTAATGAGTGTTTGAATAAATGAGAAAATTTGATGTTTTGCCGTGAGTATGTATTCGTTATCGTACTTGAAACACTCGCCATACTTTTTAATGCAACAAATCTGAATCTGTGTGTATTTAAAAAAAAAACCTCTGTCAAGCTTTAACTATAGACAAAACATTATATATTTTTTTAACGCAGAAACTCAGTTAATTTGTGAATGAGAACTAAGATACCCCCCCCCCCCCACACACACATACACATGTAAGCACCCTTGTCTCTATTACTTTTTTCTCTCTGTGTATATATACGATATATTATGATATATCTTATTATTTCCAAGCATACCTGTAATTTTTATCCAGGTCGACTTCCGTCGATAATGTCCAATCCAGAAAGATTCTGATGAATTGTGCATTGCTTTTTTGATAAGTACGCTGTTGTTCATTCTGCATATTTCCTGCGCATCAAACCATGTGTATCTTTGGACTTGACACATCACATTTTCTGCATCAACAATATTTCAATTAATGAATGAAAATGCCTATCATTAAATGATGTAAAAAGCTATCAGATATTACTTTATTTTTCGACACTGAAATTATAATAATTCTTGAATATTTTATGATATAATCAACACAATGCCTTGTTGATGTTTATTCAGTCATTTATTTTAACAAAAGTTTTCTTTAAATGCCAACACATCAAATCGCTTGATAACTGTGTAAATATATTTGGTAGAAAACTCAGAATATAGCTAAATTTGATAATTATAAAAGTTAAAGTAAGTAATTTGAGTCGGTTTATGTTTATTTCCGTAAAACAGCGACCAGATGTGAAATATTTGAATAAATAAAAAAAATTAAATATCACCTCTATTGTACTGTAAAGCAAACCATATGACGAAAACGTATAAAGCACGCATGATATCTGCAAATCGGTAACCTGAAACATATACTAATGCAAACAACATCATTGATAATTTAATTTTAACAATTGTTCTGAATCCTGACTTTTAAGAAAGAAATCATTTTCCCTGTTACATGTACAATGTATTTAATTTATATTTAAAACATTTTGTCAGTGGACTTATCCTTTATAGTCCATATTTACGAGGACCGTTCAAAAATTACGCGGACTTGTTGCACAGAAGAAATATTTGACGACATAATCGGGAAAAATTTCACAAATAATATAAAAGAATCTTTACTTATATGGTCTTCAAAATTTCATATCAAAATGTTGTAAATTGGTATTAATTTTAAGTGATTTTTCAGGACATACCATTAAGTCACGGCGCAGCAAAATCTTCGACGTCACAAGCATTATAAAAAATATGTGATTGAGCTTTCATTTTCTCAACATTTTCCCTTGAGTTCCTGTATAGTTTGAGTTACCTTATCTACTCAACATCAAAACACCATTTCTTGTCAAGCTTAAAAACTATTAAACAAGTAAAGAATATTCTTTTTTTTGTTCTAAAACCAAAAACTACTTATGAGATATAGTGTGATATTTGTGACTCTCAATCACGTTGTTTACACTCCGGATAAAGTTATCTTTTCGTCTATAATCTTCTTTCCGTCCTCCCGTATAGCCTTTTTACAGAGGTCTGTCTAAAATTTCAATTTGCTTTTTTGGGGCGAATGTCACGAGTAGCCTACTTTACTTCATGTTTTATTATGCATATTTTGGATCTATGTTGCCGATATCTCGAGCATTACACATATTTTAACTAAAGTGTGGTGCGCCGTCAATTCAGGAGACGTCATTTTCACAGTCGTTTTCACAGAAATTGCATCAGAGAAAAATCACTATATTTCTGCTAGTACTTCAAATATTACGTCCGAAATCTAAATACATAATAATAGAACAATTTAAAGGTACATTTCAGAAAATTGTTGAAAAATATCGAGAATTTTAGAAAATCTATGAGTTAATTTTTTGAATCCGCATGCTTTTGCTTCATTTTTTTTGTCGTGCGCCGTACCTCTCCATCAACGATATCAACATATCGATAATTTTAGTAGAATTTTTTTAAAATACAGAAATTCTGCCCAAAATTTATTGGAATCTTTAAGATACATATTTTTGTGAAATTTTATAACTATATGACGTCTGTAAGAGTAAATAATTGCACAGTCCGCGTAATTTTTGAACGGCCCTCGTAATATAGAAATTCCCTTACTTGTTGTCCTTCAAACTGAACTTATCAGCATGTTGGAACAGAATTTATGCAACAATATATACTGTGTTAATGGGTATCTAAGGAATCCTACATGTACATGTAAGTATCTGCATGTATGTGTTTGTAGCCCATTTTATTTACTATTGTTTTTTGAAATAACTCTCCATATATATCTGCAATGTAAACATATGAAAACATTGATAAATTGATAAAAAGAACCTGAAGTATGCATGTCGATTTAGATAGGTTAGACTGTAGGGAGAACGCAGATGTCATAATATGTTTGACAGTGGAATAACGAACTCGATTATAAAGGAGATAATACATGTACAGTTTAAATTCTTATATCTTCAAAAATTATTTATAAAATTCCCTTATGGTTACAAGCCCAATTACAGTAACAACCCAAGTCCAAGAACCATGACGAACTATGACTGAATTACCGGTAAGAACAGGACTAAGTTTTTGAATTCATGGCTAATCTTTTTGACTCTTTGTCATAAAATATGTTTAAATTAATTCAAATTCATGACATTGTTATTAGATCCCTAAAATAGATTTGCTTGATAGTATCATTCAAGATTTAAGTTTCTTGAAACTATTAACACAGAAATCTGTATACTAGATAGATTTCAATTTCAATGTATACAACGTTTGAAAGTAACGCAAGTTGCATTTTATTTTAATATGAATGGTTTTTTAGGGATAGTCTTACATATCAGCATTGGATTATGTACTTACATGTAAATACATGCTTATTCAAAAAAATTCATATCATGCAATTGATCTGTATTTTGTCGAAAATATTTTAAAAAAAAGCTGAATCAATCCATCAATTGTTTTTCTTTTATTTCTCGTTTTATAAGAAGGTAAATTTACTTACAGTTTTCCTTTTCTCTTACAGAGATACGATTTTCTATTTGGGTATAATCATATCCTTCCTTAAAAAAATGAAAATAACATCCTTGTTGTTGTTCCTATGTTAAGGTATGTGTTTCACGCAGGAATGAATTTGTGAGCCGGAAGTTTTTAATGCAAATTGTAAGAGATACACAAGGACGAATTAGCTTAATGCATGTTTAAAGGATATCATTATTTAACACATGTGCTTTTAAACGATTTTTTTTAGTTTCGTTTTGTTTTTAGGAGTGGCTTATTAAAAGGTAACTAGATTAAGTTTAATATATTGTATATCAAAATCCAGGTTTGTTAATCTCCGCACAGTGTATGAGCTGGGCCATGCATTTTCAGTATCGGTACCATCCTGAGTGAATTATTTTCACATTTTAAAAGTCATTTAACTTCCTATAGAAAATAGTTTCCTCTCTCGGGAATCAATAAAAAATTGCAAAAATTCCATCAAACCAAATCCAAAACTTATAATTTGTAACGTGCTTTCGATTTTTTTGAAAAGCGATTTAGAGATGAATTGTATGAAATTGTGTCTTTTGTTATATTTTTGAATAAAAATCAAATGGTCTGTCAGGTTTTATCACTCCCTCTCTAATTTATTCATAACATTTTTCTTTTGATTCAATGTTGTTTTCAAACTTAATAATTACACTTATAAAAATTATAATATTTGAACAATAAATTTATTTATGTATATTTGAAAGATTCTTTGTAAGTAAAAACAATTATCTAATAAAAATGGATTGATCTTATGTGCTCATATTTTAAAAAGGTTTTATAGCAATAAAATTTCACAGCACTCAAATTCATTTAAATAAATAGTTTAAATCCCTTTTTATTAATGATCTGTGTAATTAAATATATAGAATATGGTTTTCTATTGTTATATTTTAAATAAAACAAACCCAATACAGAAGCAGCTTTTTCATAACTCTTTGATTCAATGTCTAGAAAATGTGATTACCTGTCAAAATATATTCTGTTAATCCACATATTTTAAAGGTTACACCAACCATTCTCTTATATACAAAAATATATTAAATAATGGAATTCTCTTGACATTTTAGTATGTTATTAAGCATAATAGAAATAACAACGCATATATTATTAAAAACCATTTAAATAAATAGTTTCAAATGGATTGATGATCATTACAATTAAATAAATAGAGACAACGAACAGTATTCAAACTTAATACAGGAGCAGAGCAAACACAGACCTTTAAAACACTAGATGTGATTAATGGAGGATTGAGCATCCCCTGAAAGGTCACTCCCACCATATGCTCCTTGTCGTGATTGAAAGCTATATCCATCGACATTTTAGTACGCAAATAATGTTACAAATTGTACATGTATGTAAAACGTAGTCATTTGATTAAAGACCAAAATGTATTAAATGACGTTAGACTCTTTTTATAAGCCATTTCATATTTCAATTTTCTTTCTTTCCCATACTTTACGGCTTTAGAATTATTAAGAAATTAAGTATTTTAATGGAATTCAGTTTAAAATCATATGAAAAGTAGTCTCGAAATCTATGTCAAATCTGACATAATTTTAAAGCAATATGTGCTGCATTTTTGAGAATATTATTTTACTGGTAAAATGTGTTATTATGATTAATCTGTATTTAATCTAAACCCTTATGATCAATAAAACAAGAAGAAATATTTTTGTACAGCCGAATATACAGTATTATATAAAAATTCATTATTCTACAGGACGACAATAATTTAATTTTGCTTCAATCAAAGCGTATAAAAAGTCATTTCATAGCAAATATGAACAACAGAAGTTTATAAATGTTCTATTTTTCTGTCATTGAAATGGTTAATTATAAATTTGCAACATTTTTTTCCGATGTCAAACATGCAGCTCATATTGCTTTAAAGAAGAGGCCAAGGACATACAAGCTACCGTTTTTTGAAAGATATAAGGCAATCTGTATACATTTTTTTTTTACCTGATATGGAAATAAGTCCCATATTCATGACTAGTTTACCTAAATTTTTATTGGAAATTACAGTTTAAAATATTATTCTTATTCATCTTCTTGACCTTCAAATTTTGTCCCAAAACATATTATTTGAACGAGCTAAAGTTATAAAGCATCAATAAAGGAATTTATTTCTTAAATTTGATAAATTTCTTAGCAGCTTTCATTTACTAGATCTTGACTTTAATAGTAAATTATATTTGCTGACAAGGTCAGTGGATCGACCTAGAGCTTATAATAATGACTTTAAACGAGACTGCCGATATTCTTCTTTCAGCAACTTGTTTGTCAATTTGTAACTTACCTCGTTTTAAAAATTGTTCATACGGGAAGCCTGCTCCTGTGTGTCGAATCATCTGAGAGATATAAACCCCGTATGCAAGTGACGAAGGTATATCACTACATACGCTAGGGAAGTTGACAATTGAAAGTTACAGTTTGTCATAAAGCTTGGTTGTTAGATTACCATTAACGTCTTTATTTAAGTAAAATATATAAATATGAAACATATGTGTCAGAACCTGTGGTATTTTTTTTTATTTCAAACTCACCTCGATATATATAAAACTGACATAGATATAAATATTTCATCTTTGAGTTTGTCTTTCAGTTTCAGATTTTGCATTTGCAATTAGAAAATGATCTTTATTTTTTTGCATATAAATTGATTAAAACGAATTATTTAGAACTTAACAACAGAATTCTGAAATGAAAAAAAAATTAAATGCAAATATCGATGACAAGCACCACACGACAGTTTCGAGATTGTTACTTAAAATTTGGAAAATCGGACGGACGTTCGATGGACTTCCTATGGACACCGAGTACCAATAGATGACTGCTAGGTGATGTATTATAGTCAACAGCTGTTTATTATTGTTTATTTTAACTGGGAAGCTGCTTCTGTTGCAACCACAAGGTTGACAATAGGTAATCATCAGCATCATGCATCTCTCTGGACAGGACATATGCACAATGCAAGTCGGGAAATTCTTTTTCGAGCGAGAAAATAATTTCATAGTCTTATAATGACTCTAAGAAAATTGCCAATCCCACTGTATTGGAAAGAACGACATTTAAGACACCATATTAACGGAATACGCAAGAAAATTTACAAATAAGAATAGCAAATAGTGCATTAAAAAATTTGCCCATTGTATTTGATGCTTTCTATCAAGAATAAAACACGCTTTAATTACTAATATAATTTACTTTGAATTAGTAAAATCCATACGTATACTACTCTGAATGCACCTTGATAAACGTAGATCTGTGATTGAAAATTGAAATTGACATTTAAATAATACCCAATTTTTAGATCCCTTAGACGATGTCTGCTTTAATTTTTTGAGAAAAAAATTCCCATATGAGATTGCTAATGATCTTTTAGGTTATCAATCAACGAGAGAAAATTATTACTATTTATTAATCAAATATGGACGATAATTATGTTTATTTCTTTCTTAAATTGCACAAAAATGTCCAAGTAAAAAAGCTAATGCCCTGACGTCAAATGACGTAGGTCCATTCTTAACTGAAAAAATAACACTTATTTGTATCTTCTTAGTGTCCGCTCCGTGACTTTATATGCAGCCTGGAGTAAGTATCCTCCATCTTCTCGACTTGTCCACCATGCTGTCCATAATCTGAGTAAGACCCAGTATGATCATAAGTAGCCTCATCTTGAGATTTATTTTGTGATATACCACTAGTACTAATATCATACACCCCGTCCTCTAATTCGGCAGCAAAATTGCCGTGATCATAGACATCGTCGTTCTTGTTTTGTTTAGTTTCCTTATCCCCGAGATGATCATAGATGCCATCATAGGTTTCCCTATATTGTTTATCTAAATTTTGCTCAGGATTTTCTTCTTTGGTAAAATCGTTTGATGAAAGTCTCTGTTCAGAATAATTTTCCATCATTGCATGAGCGCCTTTCAAATTAGCATAACAATTTTCACTGAAGTTTAGCTTTTGAATATTGTTCTCTCTATCTTCATTTCTATCTTCATTTCCTGTTTGCTTCTTGCTGTAAAATAGACAAAACGGAGAAAAAAATAAAGTTTATTTAATTTTTAAAAATGCTTCCAAAAGCAGAAGATAAAACGAGTTTTAAAGCAAATAACGGTAAGATATACCTACCGGATAAATATGGTGATGACCATTACCAAACAGCCAACAAAAACGAAGAATACCAATAACGACACAATTGTAGCAATTATAGTAATCAGGTTTCCTGGATCTGAAATTAAAAAAAGAATTCATTAAACACATCCCAAACTGGGCGTTTTGGAATTGATATGATATAAATGATCTTTATGGAGATAAATAATTGATACACCGTATATATATGATCTGTATGCATAGTTAACATCCTGTTTTGTTCATAACCACATACATGTACATACGCTGTTTCTTTATTTCAAAGTGAATAAAAGTTATTTACTGAATATAGATTCCCTCCGCAAATACATTTGACACTGCCTTAGTTCATGTCATGATGAAAAAAATATTGATAGGATTAACACTTCTTAAAAAATGTTTACAAGAAATATTTTTAGTTTTTTAACTATGCAAAGAATATCTTTGTATTAAATGAATTCAACCGCATAAATTGCGGTCGGTATGATGTTTCTACATAGACAGACGTGATACATGCACGTTATTTCTGAGAGGCTAAAAAGGACTGCAGTTAATCATGCCATTGATCAGAATTATTTCAGAGAGAGAACCCTCAGTTATTCTGCCTTATTCCAAAAGCTTCTTGATCAGATATTTTCTAAAACATTTGATTGAAAAAGCTGTAGAAACTTTCTATCGTGCAAGTTTTTTTTTTGTTTTTTTTTTTTTTGTTTTTTGTATTACAGAGTGATTTTTCTAAGAATTAAGATCAGACGAACGTTCGACAAAGATATGTTTTGTATATCTTGATATTATATCAAAGGTATTCATAACTGATGGTATGAAGTGCAAGTGTGTTTACCGTCAGGAATGGTGAGATCGGAAATTCCATTTGTAGCATAATCAACAGGGATGGCTTCAACAATAGAGGTCTGTAAGAAACAGAAAGATCAGAATGTACTAATATGTGTCAAGAAGTCTTATACAGAATATACGTGTCAGGAAATCTGATCCAAATATATACGTTTAGAGACATCTCGTACCGTCAGACTTTCTATAGCATTCTTTATGACCCACCCTAAAGTAAAGCCACGGTGTCCTTTATTGCTATTGTCATGCAAAATATAAGATTAAAACTTTGGTTAGAGGCACTTAAAATCAAGCATTATTCTGGTATATGTATCATTCGGATACATGTCTCTTTACAAAATCACACAATTACCAACAAAATGGTGCATATTAATTGCAACTGAATTGTGCCTTTTTTGTGTGAAAGAAAGATTACAACGAGTTTTCTATTTTTTGCTTTTCTTATTTTTATGCTTCTCCTTTCTATATACCCCCCGCTTGGAAAGCGGGAGGGTATATAGTAATTTATTCCGCTTCCCCTCCGCCTGTTTGTTACCTTTTGTGATAATGGAAATATACAATGCGAATCAAAATTTATGATCTATTAGTATGAAATCAATATTTTGCAAGGGGCGGGGAGGGGGCATTGATATCGAGGTATAAAGAGATGCATCAATGTACAACTTATTAAAAGGTATATATCTTAAATTTTCTCCATTTTTATTTCCCAAGAAACAAATAGTTTTTCCACAAAATATGAAAATTGACCCTAGCTATGAAAAATATGTGATTTTACAGTATCAAACATATGAACAATAAACATGTACCTTTTGGCAGAGAACATAACTCAATTTGTTGAAACAATCGACAAATACACAACCAGTGTGGTTACATTTCTGACATTGCAGGAAGGTTCGTCTGTGTTCGGGGTCAAGAACTACACCTGGACAATTAATTTTAAGGAGAATTAACTATTAATTAGGAGTTCAACTAATAACTGTATATATTCAGACAGCAGAACACAGAAGTGGTAATTGAAAAACCAAATTTAATATATCAAATAAAATATAATATATTGATCATAAATTTTAAAAATATTAGGTCAGAAAGCGTATTAAAGTGGGGTCTGTGAAAACTACTTTCTATGATGTTAAGTGTAATTGAGTTCTCTATTTCAAATATATTTATATTTCCCATATGCATGTCTTTGTCCGTGATAAAACAACAAAAAGTTAATATACTATATTTCTACATATACTATGTATTGGTTTATAACAGTCGCAATTAAAAAAAATCATGTGCGGGGCAGTACAAATAGAGACATAAGCGGGGCTTGTAGCACGTGGTTTGGCAGAATCAAGAGCATGTATGTATACAGAATAACCGTCAGTTTTTTTTTTATGTCATGACCATGATCAGTCTATTGGCTTGTGTGATAATTTAATGAAGGCGTTTATTCAAATTATCACGCAAGCCACTCGATTGATCACATCATGAAAAAAAACAAAGTTATTCAACTAGACAGTTATTTCCTTAATATACATTGTGGAAAAGTATGACCTTAGAAAGAAATCTTTCAGGAAAAGATAATTTACCATAAAACGTTTTCAGGCACAATATTTGTAATACATTGTCTCAAACTCATTGACGGAATCAAAAATAAAGTTCAAACTTCGCATGAAATATTATCTACGTTTTTGTCTCAATTCAATGACTAAACTCTGACTGAAGAATCAATGATGATGTTTTTTTTTCTGATTTTCAAGGGGTTGCTTTAAAAATGCTTTTATTAATCAAAGATTTCCATATTCACTGTATCCACAAATAATTGGAACGTATATATGCGACATGCATTTATCTTTAACTTCTTTCTTGCCAAAATGCTGAACGGGTCTGTATCTGTAATATATATACAGATACAGACCCGTTCAGCATTTTGACAAGAAAGATTTAAAGTGCTATCGGTTATATTTGACCTCTTTTATGGACAAAACACTACCTATATATTGGAAGGAGCTTTTATAAAGTCAGCTTCGTCCTTTTTGGATAAAGAAATGCTATCTCTCTGCTTCACGTTAAATTGATAATTTACCCCGCGTTGTAGTTTTAAAAAAATAAACCGTTTACCTCTATCATATCCAATATAAACTTCCTTTGCAATGCCAAGCCATGATGAGCCGTTCCTTGTTCTAAACAATGCTCGGCATGCAAGGGAGGCGTTGATCAATGATATATTTCCGTATAAGTAAGTAGGCAGGGACCATGTTTTGCACCAATCCATCGATTTTTTCCAGTTTTGTTTTGCATCTTTATCTGTAAAAACAAAATGTACATGTAACCATCAATTTTCATTAAATAACATTAGACCTTTTAATATCGCTGTAACTGGACTTTGAAGACTTTGTTCATTGGACTCTTTGTTTTAAAAAAAATAATGTAAAATTTAGGGGGGAAAATTCAGCCTTTTATCTTGAATAGAAATAATGTTCCATTCTACGTCAGGTGGATTTTTATTGAATTCAGTTGAGCTTGCAAAATTAACTGGCACAGTTATACATAACTTTTTATCTAAGGTTTTGATTATGCAAAAAATATTTCCTCTTTGTTAGAAAATAAAAAAGGTCCTTGACGATACTGAAACTCTAGTGGATTGCAAGAATGGCATTTTGAAAGAAATTTACAGAACATTTTATATTAGTAAACATTGCAACGCCGCTGGTCAAAATTGAAAACCCATACCCAGAAATATCTATTTCTATATCCATGAAGTGTACGTCTGTACCAACACCTTTTTATTAAACAATGGGTTTGGATATGAAGTCAAAATGGTATGAGGAATAACGTTTGGAAAAATGGTTTACGGGCATACACGGACTGACAAACAACACAGGAAGAAATAAGACCTTTCAGTTAAAACTGAAAGGCGGCTTTCAGTGACTTTTCAGTGGCCATTCAGCCACTGAATGGCACATACATTTCAGTAACCTTCCAGTTACATTACAGGTACCTTTCAGTCACCATCCAGTGCACATATTTCCGTCAACTTTTAGTGAGCTTACTGTCAACTTTCATTGACCTTTCCGTCGTCTTTCAGTTACCTTTCTGTCACCTTTCAGTGATATATTTTAGTCAATTATGCGATTTTTATTCACTGGCTTACTAGTTAATGATAAGATATTTTTCCGTCACAATATTTTGAATTGATTCATTAATTTGGTTTTTTTTTCTTGTCGTGATAAAATCCAGGTACCTTAAACTGGTAAGCACGGTTTGAGGTTTACTTGTCTTTAAAAAGTGTTTACTAAATTCTTAAACTGTGATTATAGATACAAAATATGTTTAAATAATTAATACCATTTTTTTTTAAAGAGACTAATTCAAAATGATTTTTTTTATTTTCTTATTTGTTTTAGAAAAAAATAATTCTTCAAGTGATTAAAAGATATTGATCCGATAGTCGAATCAAAAATTAATTAAATGTTGTATAAGTTAATTTTTTTTTCTTTCTGTAAATATCTAATTCGCTGATATATATTCAATTTAACAAGCTATTAAATGCATATTAAGCAATCAGTTAATCTGAGAAAAAATCGAAGTTTTTAGTAAAAAAAAAACTCTTTCATATAAATAAGAAAAAATGTCATTTTATCTTTATACATGTAGCTCAAATATAGATTTCATTATTCTTATGTCAATCTAACACACCAACACACCCTATACTACTGATACTTTTTTTAAGGAATTTCAATTATTTAACAAAGAGACAATAATATTATTTACACCTTTTCTGGAATAACCTTAATATTATAAAGAACTTTATTCGGTAATAACCAATATTTGCCCCCCAAATCAAACTTTGATGGAGATATATTTAATTAAGTTCTTAAACAGGAGAGTATATGCTGACTTCAAAGCACTGAATATTTTCATAAGTAATGACGTCATATGTACGTAATGACGTCACAAACTTGACGTAAATTTCAGTTTTTTATGAATTTTACAGAAAAATGTACATTTTTCGTCGATAATTTAACTAAAAGTCACCGAGCGCATGTGTGTTCAGGATTGATATATTGATATAATGTGTAGAATGATAATATCAATGAAATATGTCAATATTGTTCCTGAACACACATGCGCTCTATAAATTTTAAAGCTAATACTGTTGAAATTTTGTCCATTTTTGTCTTCTTTCTGAAAAAGGATATAAAATCGGACTAGTTTGTGACGTCATAAGAACAAAAATTGTAAATACACTGCTTTGAAACTATAATATTATTTTCTTTTATCTTATATTTCTCATACATTTTATTGAATTCAGCACATTTCAGGACGTTTTCAAAATTTGACTTTTGTGGGGGCAAATATATGCAATATACCGCATATAGTTCTTTTGTCAAAACCTCAGCATATTTTAGCGTTTGAAAGACATTGTTTTTAAATAAATTAACTTGATTTATAAAAGCCCCTCGTGGAAGAAACTTAATTACATGTATATAGATTTAAACCTTTTGAATGAAATTGTTTTAAAATCATTTTACTAATTTTCTAGATTAGATAATTTACAACGATCTCAAATCTTAGACACAGGAACAGTTGCCCGTCACAGCTGATAAGTGTCATCATCCAGATAAGTGATGTGCGCAATTAACATAGAATATTCAAACTATATACAAGATATATACACATTGCAATCCTCGATTTTTCAGGTGAACCGGTGTTGTAAAATTTTTTACACATTGATCGATTTTAAGTCTCTAATAATCAAAGAGAAGTCGTAGCATAATTAATAAGGTCACAGACTCTCATGCTAGAGACCAGGATTCGAATCTGGGCGTTGGCAATTTTTTTTCTTGGATTAATTTTTTATCCTATTTTTTATTCGAAATTAGATAAATGTAATAATTATTGTGTCATACCAGGATGTTTATGTAAAAAAAAAAAAATACGCAGCATTGATAAGGCTTGAATAAGGGGGCGGGGCCTAATTTATACGGGAAAAGTTTACTGTGACGTCACACAAAAATATGACTTTTATGTATTTCTCGTTATACCTGAAAATGAAATAGTTTGCATTTTTTAACTGAATTAGCATAATTAACAACAAAAAAATCTTATCAATGCATTTAAAAAAACTTGTTAGTTAAATCCCATGGAGCTGGATATAGACAAAGCACTGATCGCGATGAACTTGTAAACATGACGTCATTTTGGTAAAAATGACGTATTTCATGTGCTGTGAGAGGCAGATTGAGGATTTTTTTAACAATGAAAAATGCGTTTTATTATTAAACGGCATATCATTTACGGGTTTTAAATAGCCGATTAATACCAATGCATATCCTTTGTTTAGTGCGATTATTAATTAACTATCAGGAGAATGTATTTTATTAATTATGTCGTGTTTTTATGTACAGGTTACGTAACCATATTTTACATCAAGATGCCTCATAAAATCGCACTTTGCAAGAGCATACACTTAATAAATCTTAACCATTTTTTGAATATAGATTAAGGATATTTTTCTTAACTTGAAAAGTGCTGCTGCTTTCTTAGCGTGATTTTATAAATACACAAAATATTTGGTGAAAGTCAAACATATTTCGACATGGGCTTATTTACCTGAAAATTTAACTATTAAAACGCGAATTCTATTCAAAGCAGCAGCAATTTTTAGAAACTACAAAGTATGCAGAAATAAATAATTACTTGAATTTTTTATTTCAACTAAAGTATGCCCTTGCAATATAGAAATTTCATCACGTGACTGTCCATCGATGGGACCAAACCTCATACAGCACAAAGTGGGTTATACTATGCTATTTCAAGTAGTATCTGTGTTCTGTGATAATAAAACAGCTTAATTAAAATAAATTCAGTTTTAAAAAGGTCCCCATTTTTTGCATGCTTTTTTCCGTTGATTTCTCATAGTAGGCCATAACAGTGCTGCGAAGCTGAATATCCAATAAAAGGATGCGACTGATTGATAACTGAAAGGTCACTGTATGTGCCATTCAGTCGACTGAATCGTAGCTGAATCATGTGAATGATCACAGAAAAGGCACGGGTAAGGTACTTTTCAGTGACCTTTCAGTGATCATTCAGTGGACATTCAGTTACCATTCCGTCGACTGAATGGTTTAATTTCATCCTGTGCAGATTGCCGGATGACGTAACCTTACTACAGCATAAGCTTTTCTGGCCACTGAAAAGTAAATCTAGAAAAAAATCTGTTACGACTTATTCGCTGCAATAAATTTCATTTGGTGTACAATAATAACGTCGGAAAAATTATAATCAGTTTAGTTGTAATTGCAATAAAACTTATAATTTAAAGGTAATATTTCTTCTTTTAAAAACTACATTACTATTAGTACAAAAACCGTTATAAGTATTTAAAGAAATGAAACGTTATAAAGATGACGTCATATTCCGTAACGCAGGTAATAGTTTGTAGTCTTATATCGTTATAAATACAGAATTACGGTACTATTTTAATATTATGCAGAAAAAGAGATCAGGGAATTCGAAACTTGAATAAAGCTTGGTTCACTAAACGATTTATTTGCATTACATTTGTACTCAAGACTCTTTCATTTATTTGGCAATGGTCATTTATTTTTTTTGAAAAATCTTTTTTTTTAATTGAAAGATGTATTAACAAGATAAACATACAGAGGAGGTTGATTTAAATACTCACTGATTGCAATACATGCAGACATCTTCAATTGGGACGGTGTAAAACGGACGTTAGAATTTACCAGGTCATATAATGCAAAGGGAAACTAAATTTTGATTTGAAAATACAATGTTGACATGAGTTTAATTTAAAAAATACGCAGGGAAGAAAATCATTGAAAATTGAAAAAAAAAACAACATCAATATGAATTTTCAGCAAAAAAATTTCTATATGTATGAGAAGAATGGGAATGAAAAATTTGATCCTGAAAGATTCAATTAAATACCTTTAGCCGAATCATAAAAAAAAATGTTATCAAGAGCAACCTGAAAGTATATCGCTGCAAACATGTATTTAATTGTTTTAACAGAGAATATACTTGAAATATATGAGAAAAATGATTTACTATAGAGATTATCTTAAAACTGCAGCTTTTAAGGACCGCAAAAGGTAGATCAGTCTATGCAAAGCTTCGGAAATCGATTTTGACGTCTTGATGAAACTGCACAAAATCAATATCGGCAATAAATAATTATTTTCCCTTTCATACACTTTTACCTACAGTGATTTCTCCTAATTAATGTAAACATAAATTCATGTGCAAATTATCTTGTCATAACACCACTATTTGAATTAAAATTATAGCCAATTTGATCTCGCTGTTCAGACAGATACTGACAGACTAGTTTGACATGCAGTTTCTCTGCACTTGATGCGTCATATCAAGCTATAATT